GATCAGTATTCAGCCCTATAAAACAGTAATTCCTGTGACAGGCCCTTAGACTGTACTCACTTTAAGGCAGCTCAGACAAAGCCATGCAAATCCATCTTTGTTTTTAACTTCAGCTCTCAAGGTAGGAGCAACCTGTCTCCCTTTCCCTTACCTTGGTGGGGAAGGGCAGGGAAGGGAGAGAGTGCCATCTACCTTTGCCACGTGCTCACTGTGCTAAGATCGAAATAGACCCATAATCACGGCCGCGTTTTTAATATATGTGGGTTAAAGCACATCCTAGGGAAGAGCAGCTATTTCATCAGTGCACAACTATTTTCTATTATTCGGACAAAGGAACAACCTTGGATGCACAAAAGCAGGCTCTCTGGGCCAGCTATTAAAAACCATTTGGGTCCAGCTTAATGGGAAAAGCTCAGGCTTGCTTTCTGTGTAGTTAAGCTCCAAAGCCATCAGGAGCACCCGGTGGCCGCAGCAGCATTGTGCCCTTCAAGACCCCAGTCACGGCCGTGGGCATGAGCGATAGTCGACGCGCTGAAGCTGAGCTTCCACGTGAAACTTTTGTGCCGATTTATACATATGTATTTTGAATCTTCTGCTAGCAATTCTAAATTACATTTGCAGGCCCTGATCCCTGATAGGGGAACTTCAACCACCCAGACATGCTGGAAAAGCGGCACAGCGAACTGCAGGCGGTTCTAGTAAAGGTGATGGAGAGCCCGACCAGAGGGGAGGCACTGCGGGACCTGTTGCTCACTAATGCAGAAGAACTTATTGGAGAGGTCAACACTGGAGGTAGCCTGGGCTGCAGCGATCACGCCCTGGTGGAATTCTCAATCTTGAGGGGTACAAGATGGGTGAAAAGTAGGGTCAGACCCTAAACCTCAGAAAGGCAAACTTGCAGCTGTTTAGGGCGCTAATGTGTGGGATCCCTTGGGAAACTGCCCTCAGAGGCAAAGGAGAGAACGAGAGCTGGGAGATATTTAGACATTCTTCTTAGGGCACAAGAGCTCTCAATCCCAACATGCAAGAAGTTGGGCAGGGGAGGCAGGAGGCCAGCTTGGCTAAGTCAAGAAAGTCAAGACCTCTTAGCTAAAGAAAAACACGAAAACCAAAATGCATAAGCAGTGGAGGCAGGGATATGCATCATGGGGAGATTATAGGGATATGGCCCATGAGTGCAGGGAGGGGACCAGGAAAGCCAAGGCACAGCTGGAGCTGAACTTGGCTAGGGACATGAAAAATAACAAGAAGGGTTTCTTCAGGTACATAGGACAACAAAGGAAGATGAAAGAAACTGTTCCCCCCGATGAGCGAAAAGGGAGACCTGATTACAACCAACATGGAGAAGGCTGATGTGCTCAACAACTTTTTTTGCCTCAGTCTTCACCAACAAGTGCTCTAGCCACGCCACCCAAGTCACAGAAGGCAAAGGCAGGGACTGGGAGAATGAAGAACCGCCCACCTTAGGAGAAGATCAGGTTCGAGACCATCTAAGGAACCTGAAAGTGCACCAGTCCATGGGACTTGATGAGATGCATCCGCGGGTCCTGAGGGAACTGGCAGATGAAGTTGCTAAGCCACTATCCATCATATTTGAGAAGTCATGGCAGGCCAGTGAAGTTCCCACTGACTGGGAAACAGGAAACATAAACCCCATTTTTTAAAAGGGAAAAAAAGAAGAACCA